TTTTCATATATTTGCTTCAGTTTCAGCTATGCTCGTAAGACTCGTTAGAAGAGTCGTTAGAATATCACATTTAGGTAATTACTTAAGTGTCAGATTGATTAGAGATTGACACCTGTCATAAAATCATTATGAATATAGCTCATGTAATTAGTTCAGCAGAGTGGAGTAGAGCTGGAGCCAATAAACATCTCGAAGGTTCTACCGAGAGCGGTTGTCCCTTAACATTATATCATACTCCGATGTTGCTAAAAATTTCAAACATAAAATGGGCTGGGGACCATTCTCGTTGCTTCTAGTCCTATGCGTAGAAGAAAAAAAAGCGCGGAACAAAACAAGAAAATTATCTTAAGCTACTTGATTGGGCTTTTTCAAACCTTCTAAATTTAGTATTATAATTCTGATAACTACGATTATCATTACTAGGATGGCCGAGTGGTTAAGGCGTTGGACTTAAGTTCCAGTGTACGAGTGTACGCGTGGGTTCGAACCCCACTCCTGGTATCCTTTTTTACCATCTTCTGCTTTGGAAAAGTACAAAGCGAAATACCTCACATTTCGCACGAAAAAAAAATCATAGGTTCAATAGGACGTTTGCATGATGGCGTCATTTGACTCCCACTACCAAGATGCTTTGCGAATTTTCTTTCTTATTTAAATTTGTATTCCCTCATGAGAATAGTAAGACAATTGGTGCCAATTAACTGAACAAAAGAAAGCGTACAAGGGAGTCTGGTAGTAGAGGTCAATGACGCCATCGTGCAAACGTCCTATTAGCCTGCAAAGAAAGCGTTCTTGTTGGTTTGGGAAATAACCGGGGTTTTGGGGGTACTTTGGAACGAGCGAGAATTGAAACCGAATGTTCCCTTTTTTTGCTAGGTCCGATTTTTCTCGCGGCCCCTTGGTCGAAACAGGAACCCCAAAACCCCGATTCTTCCTCAAACCCATCAAAAGAACGCCTGCTCTGCAGGCTGAGGTTCAATCATAGGTTGCTATCGATAAACGTCACCTACGGTAATAGCTGCGTCTTTTGTGGCTTGAAGAATCTTGGAGGTTGTTATGATCTCTTGTTTTCTGGTTTCATGTCGTAGAAATAGCTAAATGTAATAGCTCGAGGACTTATTTTGATATCTTATATTGATCCTACATCCGCTAGTTGTCCTTTAGCTAAACGCTTGTTTGCCTCCCAGTCAACTCCAGAAAGTCACGTGATTGGTAGTAAGCATGCATGTAAAAGATTCTAAGGCCCCCTGTTAATGCTGTAGTTTCATATGAGAAGACTCTCGCTACCAGTCTCGTAATCCCAAAACAAACAACAAGATCACGTGACCAGGATGGCCGAGTGGTTAATGTGCGAATTAGCGCGTGGGTTCGAGCCCCACTCCTGGTATGTTATTTTAACCATTTTACTGCTTTGGGAAATCGAATGTACCTTAATTGTCACTGGGCCAACAATTTGATAATTTCTATTACATACATGTAAATGATTCTTAGGCCCAATTTTTTATTTTGTAGTTTTGCATGGAAGACTCTCGTAACCAGTCTCTCTCATCCCAAAACAAGATCACGTGACTTGGATGTTTAATTCACGCAAACTAATCAAAAACATTTAAAAGCGCGCGCTTTTCCTTATAGGTATGACGTAGACCTCCTGACATTGACATCGAACATGATTATGCGAATTATCCCGGAGCAGGATAATGTAGGTATAACGCTGGTAAAACGTAACAAATGGGGGTTATTATTGGGGCACGGGATAATTGGCGTATATTATGTGGAATATCACATTGGTAAAAGGTAGGGAAATACAAGAGATTACACGCATTTTCCTATCTTGGAAAACGCCAGAAAAATGTATGGCAAAATGTAAGTTATCTCTTCATTTTACATGTCGGTAAAATGTGGGTATAACTTGGTAGGAAAACTCGAGCAAAACGAAGGTATAATCTGAAGTTATCCCCGCCTGTTAAAACGTAAGGATGATGCGTGATTATTTAAAAAATGAAAAAAACTTCCCGTCATTTTGAGCTTTAAGTTGTGAGGTCCATATGAAGCAAATGTATGGCAGTTTGATTACAAGTTATGTAGTTATGTAGTCGCTTGAAGGTTATTGTGGAGTTATTCTTCTAGATATCAGGGAAAACCCTAGACAGAAACGATCAACTATGATTGGTGGAATTTGTTTTGAATTGTTATTTGCATAATAGGAGAAGACCAGAGCAAATGTCGCGCTTGAGAGGGCAATTTTTTTGGGTGACATCACCTTTGAGGACAGGCTGTGTATCATGCCTCTCAAATTAATATATACGCATGTACTTTTCCGTTGGCCTTAAATGGACCCTTCTTAAAAGTATAGCGTATGCGAGGCTAACATGGAAATACAAAAGAAATGCCATCGACAAGAAGTGCGCTTTCTTTTGTATTTCCATGTAAGCCTCGCATACACTATACTTTTAAGAAGGGTCCTTTTAAGGCCAACCGAAAAGTTATAATAGTAATTGATCAGACGATAATGGAATATAAGTAAGTATTTCCAAATGCTATGAAAGGAGGTTAATCTTAATTTGTATGCTAAATTTGGATTCAACCAAACAATCCATCCTTGATTTAGTTAGCTTGTGGGCTTCTGACAACCGGATGAAACTTTAATGTTAAAAAGTTTAAGTGTTCGAGTTTCTTCAAAGAGAAACACCAGTTATCCGCTTTGACATTAAATGGTCGAGCGCTAGAAGCAGCTCTCATAAAGTGTGCTCTCATAAAGTTCTTGGACTAATCCAGAATTGAATAAACAAATCGCTTCGATAACCTCTAAAGCATCAAACGGCTTACGCATACTCCGTGTTCGCATTCTACGTTGAGGAAGTGTTCCCGCTGCAGACCTTGTTCAAATTTCAAGCCCAGCATAAAATATGTTGTGACGTTCGGTTCATGCCTAGCATTATGACTTCCGGTTTATGCCTAACACGATGACTTCCGGTTTATGCCCAGCATGAAATTCGATCTGATTTCCGGTTTATGCCCAGTATGATATTTTATCTGACTTCCGGTTCACATTCAGAAGGAATATTTTTACGGACATCATTCCCACTCTCTTCTCGGACACTTGATATACATCGTCGTAGCTCTTTACATTGCAAAAAATTGCCCGTACATTTGGAATATTTGCTCTTTTCTGTCTTTTTCCTCTCTTTCCAAAGCAAAAGATTGTTCTTAAAAGTAAAGTTATATAGCACCAGTAAACTGCGTGACACAACACCCTAAATGACCCTAAATCTTCTGTTCTTTCGCTAACTACCGTAGTAGTGTGTTTTCGAGAGGCTACGAAACCTAAGAAACCATAAGAGGCGAATGTATAGGCCAACAGATAGTATGAGCTTATAAAATCAGCAAAAATACGGTTCTAAATTTTAACAAATTCCTATGAATCATACACCAAAATGTTCAGGAAAGTCCAGGGTTTTCACATCCACTTCTATTTTGTTGACAGGTTCTGTTTTATTTCAAGGAGAGACGATTTTCTACCTTGACCCCGGTTATGTCATGCATTTTCTCTTGTAAAATACATCCAATAGCGTACATTCAACTCAAGTACGATGGGTTTTTTCAATAGAATTCAATCTAAACCATATAATACAGTCCGTGAATAGTTGAATTAAATGAATCCACTTCTGTTTTTTGCCTAGATAGTCATTATTTTGAGAAAAGATCCAAAAACCKTGTTTTTGAGACATAATTTGTATGGGCTCACATGAGGGGGCGTGAGCTTGAAATCGTAGCTGATCAAATGTTAACAGATTTTTTCTGGTGACATGAACGTGCATATAAGCCATTATGGGTACTCTTACTACTACTATTACTACTACTACTACTACTACTACTAATAATATAAGTTCTTATATAGCGCGTCCTAATAAACTCGAGGCGCTTTACAATAAACTAATTTATGTATATGATATAAATATTTACACCTTTTGCCGTTCATTAACAGAAAATGTACATTCATTTGTGCCAATAGTTGTATCAATAACGTGTAATGTACTTTCATCAACACCACAAGCAACATCATTAGCGCGGATCAACTTTCAATAACGATAATTGAATATGCGTGTACATTCATAGGCATCAATGGACAATCAATAGCGCGTTTGTACATTCACATGCTCGGAAAGTAGTTTCTTGTGCGCGAAATTCAACTTCAATAACACCAAATGACAAACAATTGCATTTATGGACAATCATTTACCCAAAAGTGAAAATTCATTAGTGCTATTAGCATAATCATTGACAATCTATAACGCGCTTGGACAATCATGAGGGTCAACGTTATATTCTATAGCGTGGTTCGACAAACATTTGCATGATTCGAATAAACAATAAGAGAAATAAAACAATTATTAGCGTTTTTTTTTAAAAATCACTTTAATACATATAAAAAACTCAGAAAACTGCCTCCATAATAGCGGTTGCGTAGGAG